GTGGCGAACCCAAATCCTTTCTACCCGGACGTGCATGAAGAGATCATGAGATCGTGGAAGTCTCCTTGACTTTTCGCGACTGCTCAGTGGCCTCTTCCGCCTTCTCTGCCCTTGTAGAGGCCGCGGCCTAGGGTGCACTGGGGTTCCCCCTGTGGAGTGTTCTGTGGCAACACTTATGTGTCCCCACAGCGCCTCCACCTGGCGTGGCGACTCTTAAGCACCCCTCCAATGCCTGTAGGTTCTTGTCTACTCCGGTGGCGGGGACCTATAGAGCTGCGGGGCAGGCTGCCACCTCACTGCGTGTTACTGCCATCCTCCTGGGTGTTCAATGACATGCACGAGGGTAGGGCTGATTCAGGGCTCATCCTTGAGCTGCCTGCCGTCACCGACCTTGCTCTCCGAGCGACGTAGGTGACCGCACGCTCCCTGAGTCAGGTGATGTCCACATAGGTGGTCAGACACCTCTGGCTAACCTGGTTGATGTGCGCGAGGCTGAGTGATTTCGTTTCCTCAACTCCCCCATATCCCAGGCTGGCCTCTTCGGCGGCGCGGTCGAGGACTCTGCCCAACAGTTCTCGGCCGCCCAGAAGTGGACTGTGGCTATTTTGTCTGACCCCGCAGCTTTGCTGCCTCCAGCTGCCGGCTCAGACGCCTCAGTCCGCTTGCTGCCGAATGCGCCCTCCTGCGACTGCAGCACCGGGCCGCGCCGTGGAGGTGGTCGCAGGAAGGCCCCTGCCCGTACCGGTCCCGCAGCCCCGCCAAGGCCAGGCTTGCGGCGCTCCCGTTACGGGCAGCTCAGATGTGGGTTGCAGTTCTTCAGGGAGTGGTTGCAGGGCCATTCCTTCCCCCGGTGGAGGGCTGGGGGAGAATCTGTCTAAACCAAAGAGCTGCATCCCATCTCTGAGCCCTCAGAGGGCCGGACGACAGTGCGCAACGCTCCCGGGCCTTGCCGCTCTCGTCCCCCTCTGTCTCTGAGGGCGCGGATGACAGTGTGTGCCGTCTCCGGACCACACCACTCTCGTCCCCCTCTGTCGCCAGACCCCTGGCAGAGCAGACCCCCGTGGAACGCTGGTCCTTCCCTGGTCTCCTCTGTCAGGACGCGGAGCATGACCGTGCCCCCACACCGGGCCGCTATGCCACCCACGCTTGGGCCGGTCACTCCGCTTCGCTGCCCCTCCGGGGGGACGTCTGTCGTTCGGATGTTTCCGCTGGTTCAGTTCTTGGGAGCTTGGTTAGAGCTTCCCTACCTGTCCCGCTGGGTCGCCCGAACTATCAGGCTCGGCTATGCGATCCAATTCGCATGGTCTCCTCCCCGCTTCAGGGGAGTCCGTTTACTTTGGTCGGTGGCAATGCCCCGATCATGAGAGGGGAGGTTGCCACCCTGCTGGCGAAGGGTGCAATCGAGACTGTCCCTCCAGCCGAAATGAGGTCAGGGTTTTACAGCCCGTACTTCATTGTCCCCAAGAAGACCGGTGGGTTACGGCCAATCCTGGATCTGCGCGTCTTGAGCCGCTCCCTTCACAGGCTGCCGTTCAGGATGCTCACGACCAAACGGATTTTCGAATGCGTGCGGCCACAGGATTGGTTTGCAGCGATAGACCTGAAGGACGCCTACTTTCATGTCTCCATTTTACCTCGACACAGACCGTTTCTTCGGTTTGCTTTCGAGGGGCAGGCATACCAGTACGCAGTTCTCCCATTTGGGTTGGCTCTGTCTCCTCGCTTCTTTACAAAGGTCGTCGAGGCAGCCCTTGTTCCCCTGCGCAAACATGGGGTTCGCATCCTGAATTACCTCGACGACTGGCTAATATTAGCTCACTCTCGAGTCCAGGTTTCCGAACACAGAGACCTAGTGCTCCGGCACCTAGCCCGTCTGGGCCTTCGGGTCAACTGGGAGAAGAGCAAACTTTGCCCCGTGCAGAGGATCTCTTTTCTCGGTATGGAGATAGACTCGGTCGCCATGTCCGCGCAGCTTACGAGCCAGCTTACGAGCGACTTGTCTTCGACAGTTCGAGGGCAAGAGTGCGGTCCCACTGAAACTTTTTCAGAGGCTCCTGGGGCATATGGCATCCGCAGCCGCGGCAACGCCACTCGGATTGCTTCATATGAGACCGCTTCAGCTGTGGCTTCGCGATCGGGTCCCGAGGTGGGCATGGGTTCCAATAACTCCGACCTGCCGTCAGTCCTTCACCCCGTGGCGGAACCTCAGCTTTCTACGGGCCGGAGTTCCCCTAGAACGAGTTTCCAGGCATGTTGTTGTCTCCACAAATGCCTCTGCCACGGGCTGGGGCACCATGTGCAATGGACATGCAGCCGCGGGCTCCTGGACAGGACCCCAGCGCCTCATGCATGTCATTTGCCTCGAGTTGCTGGCAGTACGCCTTGCCCTGCACCGCTTCCACGCGCTGCTCCAGGGTCAACACGTACTTGTCCGTTCTGACAATACCGCGAGAGTAGCGTACATCAACCATCAGGGTGGTCTACGCTCTCGCCGTATGTCGCAACTCGCACGCCACCTCCTCTTATGGAGTCAGAAGCACCTGAGGTCCCTTCGTGCTATTTACATTCCAGGAGAGCGGAACCTTGCAGCCGACGAGCTGTCACAGCTCCGGCCAACCTCTGGCGAATGGCGACTCCATCCCCAGTCGGTCCAGCTGATATGGGACCAGTTCGGGGACGCACAGATATATCTGTTTGCCTCCCACGACTCATCCCATTGCGCCCTGTATTACTCCCTGTCCGAGGGCACGCTCGGCACGGACGCACTGGCGCACAGCTGGCCGCAGGGCCTACGCAAATATGCGTTTCCCCCAGTGAGCCTTCTCGCACGGACTCTGTGCAAGATCAAGGAGGACGAGGAGCAGGTCATATTGGTCGCCCCATACTGGCCCACCAAGACCTGGTTCTCCGAACTGATACTCCTCGCGACAGCACCTCCTTGGCCAATTCCTCTGAGGAAGGAACTCCTTTCTCAGAGACGGGGCACCCTATGGCACCCTCGTCCCGATCTTTGGAGACTCCACGTGTGGCTCCTGGACGGGACGAGGCAGGTCTGAGTACCCTGCCACCTGCAGTGGCGGCTACCATCACTTCCGCTAGAGCGTTGTCCACGAGACACGTCTACCCGTTGAAGTGGAACCTCTTCGTCAACTGGTGCTCTTCTCGGCGAGAAGATCCCAGGAGATGCTCGTTCGGTGTCGTGCTTTCCTTTCTGCAAGACGGGCTGGAGCGAAGGCTGTCTCCCTCCACCCTGAAGGTGTATGTGGCCGCTATCGCCGCTTATCACGATGCAGTTGAAGGTAAGTCTCTGGGAAAGCACGACCTGATCATCAGGTTCCTGAGAGGAGCGAGGAGACTGAATCCTCCTCGCCCTCCTCTCGTACCCTCTTGGGACCTCTCAGTGGTCTTATATGCCCTGCAGAGGGCTCCCTTTGAGCCTCTGCAATCAGTGGAGATTAAGTTCCTGTCAATGAAGACAGTGCTCCTGGTTGCACTGGCCTCCATCAAGAGGGTGGGGGATCTGCACGCACTCTCCGTTGACGAAGCGTGCCTGGAATTCGGGCCGGCCTGCTCTCACGTGATCCTGAGACCCCGGCCTGGATATGTACCCAAGGTTCCCACCACTCCCTTCCGGGACCAGGTGGTGAACCTGCAAGCGCTGCCCCTGGAGGATGCAGACCCAGCCTTGGCACTGCTCTGTCCAGTACGCGCCCTCCGTGCTTACGTAGACAGGACGCAGTGTTTCAGGACCTCAGACCAGCTCTTTGTCTGTTATGGTGAGAAGCTGAAGGGAAAGGCTCTCTCCAAGCAAAGGTTATCCCACTGGATAGTGGACGCCATTGCTTTGGCATACCAGCAGCAAGGTCGACCGTGCCCCCTTGGTGTGACCGCCCACTCCACCCGGAGTGTGGCGTCCTCTTGGGCTTTAGCGCGTGGCGCCTCGCTAACAGACATCTGCAGAGCTGCAGGCTGGGCGACACCCAACACATTCGCCAGATTTTACAATCTCCGAGTGGAGCCAGTCTCCGCCCATGTACTGTCTTTTTCAAGCTGACATGGGAGCCGTTAGGTGTCTCGCTTGCTCGCCATTCCAATCCACGGACTGGATACGTGCGATATTTCCTCAGGTAGCCTTCCTCTCTGAAGCCCTGAGTTCCTCCAGCACTGTTGACGCTGGCGCCAGTGTCTATTGCCTGTGCGCTGGCTAGGTGCCTCCGTGTGCATGGTTCCTCCTCTGAGTAACCCCCACATGTGTATTTCCACTGTAAGCCTCTTTGAGCATGTGTCTTTCCCTCGGCAAGCCACCTTGCCACTCCTGGAGTTGAAAGTTGCCACCCCACGGGCTGGTCACTCCAGTGTTCCCCCATATGAAGCCCCCTCGGCCATATGTGTATTCTTAAGTCCTCCCTATGGGTAGGCATGCTGCGGCATATCTCCCCTGAGATATGCTTCCCAGTGTACCTTGGTATTCCTGTGTTAAGTAGGACTCCTTCGTCCGTGCCTATATCACGACAGGGAGGTCAGACTTCGCAGGGCACTGGAAGACAGCTGTGAAGGTGGCGTGATTACATGGGGACCCCCATTCTCCGTCATCCGACGTAACTCGGAGTGACTACGAAAGGGAACGTCTCGGTTACGGATGTAACCCTCGTTCCCTGAGTAGGGAACGGAGACGTTACGTCTCCCTGCCACTTCCGCTGTACCGCTGGGTAGACGCCTGAGTTCAGTCTCGGCTCCTCAGCGAAGACATGATCTGCTGTTGCAGGTGTCTCTCCTTAAATACCCACGCGGTGGGGCGGAGATACATTATGCAAATTCCGCAGACCCATGGCATTTCATTGCCATAGGCTCGTTTTTTAATACTCGAAGATGATAGGCTTTCTGGCGAAACCCCCATTCTCCGTCATCCGACGTAACGTCTCCGTTCCCTACTCAGGGAACGAGGGTTACATCCGTAACCAAGACGTTTTTCACTGATATGTTTGTCTCTTTATGCATAGTTCCTGGTCATGAAGGGTGCCTGGTGTTTGGTCAAATCAAAGGCGAGTCCTGTGTCTTCATGCAAGGAAGGTTCCATCTGTACGAGGGTTACTCATTGTGCAAGGTGAGCTCAAATAAACAGTTTGATGCCTCTATTGCAGGTGCTACCACAGCCATATTGTTGTTTATCTTGCCCTTAACTGATATAACTTCATCTTGCCTTTCGATACGGTTCTTAGCTGTGTCCATTTATAATACAAGCACAGTGGTTTCTTTACTTGAAGTAAAAGCTATATCACAGATCCCGTTTTTGTTGAAGCTGTGGCATCGCTGTCGTGTAAAGTATTGTGTTGTCTGGCGTGCGTTTCAAGCAGTGGCCTTGGTTCCTTTTAGCATCACCTCAAGGACAAGTAAACTCATTGTAAACAGCTCCTATTTGTTTAAAACAGAGAGGAGCTGTTGCCTCCAGTATGGGTCATTAACTTTATCTGTCCCAACCAGAAGATGCATGAATACCGAGGCTGAATGCTGAGAAAGCAGGTGTGGAGGAGAAACAAACTGCTCCTGTCACTCTGGTATCAAAGCAGTTCATTGACAATATTCAGCTTGCTCTCGTAGTCGTTTGTGAACAGGAAAACAGTTTTGTGAATGCATTAGCATGTTGACTATGAAAAATATGATATTAATCATGAATATTTTTTCACATCGGTTAAAAGTCCTTGTTAATCTATAAGTTTTCAAATGTTAATTTACCCCGGAGTTCAACCAAGCAGCATGATTTGTGTGAGCTCTTGGCTTTCTCTCCATCAAAGTCTGCAGGGGAATACATTATCTGTTGCACATGGGGCCAGAGAGACACTTTTTACTAATTTACCAAGGAATCTGCAACCTCTTGCCCTGGAGTGGGACTGTCACTGTAATTGCAGCCCTGACAGCATGACACAATGCATTACAATCAGTTGTCATGGCCACCATGCCCTCTATAGCCAGCCAAAAGCTTTTTACTCTTAATATGAGGCTGGGGCATTACATCCATCATTCCCCTGTATTATCAAACTCAAGCTTTTCACAACACTATTTTGTTTTTAATGTCTTAATGGCTGTGGCACATAAACACCCACTGCAGCCCAATTTGCATATCTGTCCTAAATAGGATGCAGGAAAACAATTCGCGTATGTCAGATCAAATCAGGCAGATGTTAAAAACAGTGAGGCAAATGTCCCTAATATAGTATTTTCACCCATGACATTACCAGCACAACATCCCAACATTTGGGCGAGGCGTTGGGTACATATTTTTTTCATTTACTGTTTCTATTAAAAAAAATGACAAGGATTGAGCGAAAGAACCTGCCATAGCATTGGGAATGTAATTATGTATTGTAAGGCAGGGCTGCCAACTTTTCAGTTTAGCCTGGAGTGAGAATTACAGATGGGGTGGTGGGGGGTGATTCGATTCATAAGCTTGCGATTCAATTCTGATCTTGATTCAATATTGATTAATTTGGCTAAATATCAGTAAGAGTAGGGCCTTTACATTTTTCTTAAGGAATCAAATCTCTCTCAACTAATTCTGTAAACAGCCTAATATTTTTTTACGACAGAAGAGTAAAATAATAAAAACATAATATAGTGCATATATTTAGCAAAATGAGAGTTTATTCTTCTTGCTAACTAACATGTAAAATGGTCATCGATTGGCTTTACGTGACATATTTTTCACAATAAAAGATTTAGTCACGTCTTTCTGCCGTTGAAACACTCATTGAATGACTACATGAGACTATAATACATTTTACTAAGCTGTGCTTTATCTTTCAGCGTACCTTCTGATGTTCATTCATGTTTATTTGGTGCTATAACTAATAAAGAGGAGCGCAGATACAGCGATCTGTCATGCCACATTTGTTTGAATTCTGTAATAAAATTTACAAAATTTGAAAGCTGAGACTGTTTCATATCAAAAGTAATCTGCTCTGTCGTTGCGTTGTCAGTGTCCTCTTTGCTTTGCAATGTTTAGTCTTTATTTTTTTATTCATTTAGAAGCTCAACCAATCTGGTTATTAAATCTTTTGTCAAACTGTGACAGCTGGTTTTGTACCTTCAGTCCACTGTTCATTTCGCTTTAGCTGACTCATATCTGTGAGTCACTGTGCAAATCGGTGCCAACTCACTGTATCCTAAAATTGGACCCAACTCATTTCCATTACAGTTTATGATGCAAACTTGCTTTCATGTTTGCCCTTGGTAACACAAACAGTTATTATGGCTTCTTTAAGTGATCTCATTGTTGTGGAGCGCTGTGCTTTGGAGGGTAATTGGACAGTCGAGATTAGTTAGCCCTTCACTGACCTCTGTTTCTCTGCAGCAAGTAAAGCAGCTTTATGGTGTTCAGATGCATTTAGTGGGCTTGTCTCAACTGTACGCATCTCTAGACTGTACTGGGGGGTTTTCATTCCACTACCCTACTTCTGCTTTCTGTTTTTCAGAAATAAACAGAGAGTTGATAGGTCATTATTGTGTGGCCTCGTAATATAAGTGTCATTGAGCAGTTTAAGCCATCGGATGTTTCCTAATATTTATGCTTTATGTCAGTTCACTCAACAGTAAACTGAACCGGCGTGATTTTCATGTCTCTCACACCACAGATTTCCGCTCTCTTGTTACAAATGCAATTGACACCATCTTGCATCTCAGTTACTGATATAGTGGCAGTGACCTCAGAGATTTCTGTATTAATATCACTGTAATATTGTTGCAACTGTGTTCGTCTTGTTACTTGGCTGAATTGTTTTGCAATTGTATTTGACTGTTATTTTTGTTAACAGAAGTTTTAAGAAACTATACAGGCAAAATCATAAAATAATTTCAATTCACATCAATGTTTCATGCACGTATTTATTTACATGCAGACTTATCATACATAACAGAAACCAGGCGTATAGACATTTTTTTATATTCAAATGATGCAATTTGCATACTACTTCAGTGAATCCGATGCTAAAAGGACACAGACAGCGCGCGCAAATAGCCCAAAAAATGCAATCAGCGAGTGCAATCCATTCTCAGTGAATTCCCTGAAATTGAAATAAATGCCAATTCATGATACAGTGCCAAGACATACAAGATTCTCTTATAGACATATTATCATTATTACTCTGTAATAGTGCGCATTAATCAAACTGCGGGTGATGGGTAACCTATAATGCAGCACCATAGACCAATTCTCTCAGGAGAGTTAAAGACTCAAATATGAAGCGATTTGATCTCTGAGAGTTTACGTTCCACAAAGAAGTCATCTTTGATTTAAAGGGTACCAAACTGAGGCGTATTTTCTGGTCCACATCGGCGACCCGTCTGTGTATATCTGTAATGGCCGTGTTCCTCGTGGAAGCCCCACACGTCCACCCTGGTTCATCAGCTGGAGAGCAGGCTGACAGACTGTGACATCCCTCTTGAGCTGTGCTGTACTGAGCCCCCAAGTACATTATTCATCTCCTGCTCACACTGACACCTCCCTTAATGGCTCCCTGCTCTACACTCCTATATTTATCCCATTTGGAATTACTAAAGCTTATTTAATACCTGCCTAAAACTGTGGTTACTAGGCACTGTGGGGTACCATTGCACATTTAAGCATGTGGATATTGTCATACCCACGTGGTCTTCTGAAATGAAAGAAGGCTTTTTTTTTCCAATTGCCCATAAATTTGATCAAATAAATTGAAACTTCATTACATATAAATATATAAAAATATTCTATTCTATTTGTTTTGCTTTATTTCTGTACTGTCAGTAATTTTCTTATCTAAATTTTGAGAAGACACACCTGCCACTTGATATTTTTATTCCATTAAAAACATCTGGAGCTGAAGGGGCCATTGTTGGGCCAACATATACCCCTGGTTTCACAGACAAGGCTTAAGACTAGTCCTGGACTAAAATGCATGTTTGAGTTGTTTTTAACTGAAAGCAACTTGCACTGACATTTTTTAAGAATGCAGTCCATTGTTTTGTCTCAAGAAACATGCCAGTAATGTTTTTTTCTAAGACACGTTTATAAAAGCTACTTATATGTCCTAATTGAAGAGACCTGATCCTCTGTTAAACCAGGCCTAAGTATCATTCATTTAATAATTTAAAAGTGAAAATAATATGTCAGAGAGATCCTGCTGTATAACAGCTTGTGTTTTCTGGGGATTTTTCCAGGTCACGTTCCCCGTGCGGATCTTCAAGCTGATGGGTGTGGAGATCATTATCGTAACAAACGCCTCTGGAGGTCTTTGTCAGGATTTCAAAGTGGGAGACATTATGGTCATTAAGGACCATATTAACTTGCCGGGGTTTGCTGGACAGCACCCACTGTGTGGACCCAATGATGAACGGTACGCAGATAAGGGAAAGAAAAAGGCAGAATAAAGTGTGAAAGAGTGAGAGTTATTATTTTACAGAATTGTTTTCCATTTTATGAAAAAGATGGTGCATGTTCTTTCTTGTCTTCCTCAGATTTGGGATCCGGTTTCCTTGTATGTCTGATGCTTACAGCAAAGACTTGAGGAAATTAGTTTTGGACATCACTGCTGAGCTGGGCTACTCTAATTTTGTGCGAGAGGGAGTCTACTGTATGGTTAGTGGACCCAACTTTGAGACCATCGCTGAGGCACGCATGCTGCACATCTTGGGGAGCGACTCTGTTGGTATGGACAGTCACAATACACAAGGGGGGAAACTGGCAAAAACGAGTATGAAAAAATTCTGAGCTTCCGCAGGGGAAATGCACAACTCAAGTTGTCAAAAACATAGGAGCACTTTATATGAAACACACTCTTTTCATCTGTGATTTAAAACTGATTTTCTGTCAGATAATCTGTGACAATTCTAAACATCTATAGGTCATATTTTAAAAATAATTTACAATCCTTTCTTAATGTATGGTTTTTCATACTCATAAATTACATTGTGCTGAAAAGTCAGTTATTGCATACAGTACTTTGAGGTAACATTAATCAATTAAGTGAAATAAAATGGTTAAAAGTTCAAATAAATCAAAAAGGGGAAAAAATTTGATTCCACTCTAAAACATCCATTAGCATAAAGTTGTAATAAGTTATTACTTGATATAAGTTATTACTTGATACAATAGATAATAGAAATAAATGCACTGACCCACTTTCAGTTTAAGTGGAAGGTTCTTGGCCATAAAAAGCTGCAATGTTTAGCAGGGTTGTTATTGTAAAATTAAAACTAAAGCTAAAACTAATAATAAATAATTTTCTATAATTGTAAAAAAAAAAAAAAAAAAAATTATAATAATAATAAGAAGAATTGATAATCTTAAACTTCAAATAAAATAAAATGTTTGCTTTGGCAACTAACTGAAATAAAAAAAGTTGAAGTACTAAAATAAATAAAACTTCTATTAAAATAAATGTATAGAACTATAAAAAATAATTAATAAAAATGCTTATTAGTTCTAGAATATTTTATTAGAACTAAACACTAATGAAAATTAACAAATGAACAGAAATAACTAAAACTTACTGAAAACAGATTATATAAATGTGAAAGCCAGTAGCCATATAACTCTGTAGCCCGAGACTGGTTGCCCATTGAAGCTAAGCAGGGTTGAGCCTGGTTAGTACCTGGATGGAGGACCTCCTGGGAAAACCAGGTTGCTGCTGGAAGAGGTGTTAGTGAGGCCAGCAGGGGGCGCTCACCCTGTGGTCTGTGTGGGTCCTCCTAACGCCCCAGTATAGTGATAGGGACACTATACTGTCAAAAAGTACTGTCCTTCGGATGAGACGTTAAACCGAGGTCCTGGCTCTCTGTGGTCATTAAAAACCCTGATTATTCCCGGCATCCTGGCCAAATTGGCCACCTAATCATCCCCATATACTTATTGACTTCATCACTGTCATCACAGTAAGCTGGCGCAATATGGCTGCCATCGCATCATTCAGGTGGATACTGCATATCGGTGGTGGTTGAGGAGATTCCCGCTTCCATGTAAAGCGCTTTGAGTACCTAGAAAAAACTAATTATTATTATTAAAGCTAACTCAAAATTAATAAATAGCCTACTAGTATATAAAGAGGATAATAATAGTTTATAAATAATAAAATTCTTCCATGCTGCATCAGGTTTCCTCTCTCTGAGGAGTTTGAATGGTTTAACTTGCTGTTTTCTTTTGTGTGTAGTGCCTCTCCTTTAATTGGTGCTTCAGGAAAATTATAGCTCGTTAAAAATGATGTGCCATATTAGCAGACCTGCCATATTAACTGATGGAAATTAGGCCCACCCAAAGGGCCAAAGTAGCCCACTTCAATCAATGTGATTATGTTAATCAGTGATATGAATAACTCTCTTGTCCATATGATTGGCATAAACTATACTTACTCCTGGTCCTCTGATGAGTTGAATGATGTCTTAGATAATTGGACTCCGATTACCAAACGGCAGCAGTGTGGGGTATGTGCTAAGTAGGCTCCTCTGGCTAGACCGGTCAACAACTGGTTCCTGTGTGCGTCCTCCCTCCTGTGTATACATCAGGACCCCAATAGTTTTCATTAAGTGTTAAGTGAGACCCAGACCTGGTCTGCTTCATTAATGAATCACCTACTGCGCCAGAACAGAAATTTAATTAAGAGTCTCTCTCTCTTTCTCTTTTCTTCCTGCTGCCCTGACAGGCATGAGCACAGTTCCTGAGGTGACGGTAGCCAAGCACTGTGGACTGCGGGTCCTTGGCCTATCACTCATCACCAACAAGGTTTCTCTTGACTACAGTCGTGAGGAGAAAGTGAATCATGAGGAGGTGCTGCAGATCAGCAAGATGAGAGCTGAGATGCTCCAGAACATGCTCATGACCTTCATCGCTCGCTCTCACCAAGTGGAGACCATCAACAACAACTGCATCTATTCAAATACCGTCTAGGGTCAATCAAACCAGTTCAATCATGGGTGCTGTGGAAGTCATGTGATTGGATACAATAGATCTAAAGGCTCTTTGTTATTTTTAGCCTTTATTTGCTTGTTTAAAAAAAAAATTCAATGTGAGACCTCACTGTGCTTTTGGAGAGGATGTATTTGATCTCCAGATTGTGATTGTTGTCTTGTTGACTTTTCCTGACTTTTCAATATGAAAAAATACAAACAATTGTAAATAAACCTCCCTATAGTTGAAATGAAACGTTTGACATCTCAATGGGAACATGTTTCAAACCATGTTTATAAGGCAAAAACAGTTCAGAATTTTGGACATCGGGCCACATTTCCAAGTTAGCCTTAGTGTTATTTATTAGTGGAGACAGTTTTCAAAAAATTTCATCCAGTCGTTCCAGTTGCATAGTTCGCCGGTGCTAGGCTAGCGCGAGTCAATGGTAACTGCTAGCCTGCCATTAAAAACAGTTTTACCCACCCCACAGTACACCAAAAGCAAATAAATTATAACGCCAGACTATCTATGTAAATGTCTGATAAGTCCATAAAAACGCTGTCCAAGGGGTAAGGGGTTAATTCTCCAGAAAATGACCATTCTTTTATCATTTACTCATCATAGAGTTGTTCCAATTCCAAACCTATGAGTGACCCTTTAATAAAAAGGAATTTTCTGTATTGAATTTTTAACAGGTGTCTTGCCCATATTTTGAATTACGCATTGCATTGCATTGTGTTTTAGAGAATCACAGATTTTTTACTTACAGTTTAAAAGCACAGCAAATAGCTCTTGATATATTGTACATGTGATAAGATTGACAAACTTACTTGGAACTACACACTTAATACACCCAGTGGGATTTATGGACCAATATTTCAAATAATTGTTACCCTGCAGACGCAGTGTCAAACCACACACTGGTTGATCAGTATTTAGACGGTGTTCTCAATATCCCCTGCTGGTAGATGCAGTGACTACATGCAAGTAAAAAAAAAAACCCATCTACCTCCTTTGACACACATTTAAATCCATTATACTGTGGATAATTAATCATTTTATAGTCCTTCAGGATATCTGAGGTTTTCTTGTCATTATAAATGTTCAAAGGAAGGTAAATTTAACTTATGTATAATTCCTGACATCAAAATGACTCCTGTCAGAGTGACAGTTAAAATGGCATAATTTCCATCGAGCATTAAGATCAACACTGAAAGTGCTAAACTGAATACAAAAGACTGCAAATCATTTAAAAGTTTTCATTAGTGTTTGCAACTTAATTATGTATATAGCATTTTCGCATAACCATTTATTGCATCATTGAGTTTTCTATTATTGTGAGCCTACGGACAAAGATTAATTTGTTTTCAAAACAATATGAACCAAACTTTTTTTTTTAAATCATACAAAGTGATTTTGCTGATCTATTTTGAAAGACGCCTAATGTTAATCAAAAATTAATGACTAAAATGTTCAGATTAGCAGATTGAAATGATAAATTAGTGCATTATCTATTTGGTCAGTCTTTTGAGAGCATAGTGACCATGTTAATAAACACTGGTGAATATGAATTTCCTATCATAGACTGCATCTCAACATCTGGAGTGTAGATGAGTTGTTTATGTGCAGGTATTTATGTGATAATGTCAGTAACGGTAAAAATACTAGCTTGGGGCAAACTATTTTGAATAACTTATATAATTTACTTTCATTGTTGCTCTTCTAAGATGCAACTTTCAGGGTCAAAAAGTCATTCTTCTAATTAGCCCCATCTTATAATGAGTATTCTTATCAATAAAATGGATTTTTACTTAATCAGGAGTTTTGACTTGTGTTGATGTTGCGGGCACAACCTTCTTTGATTTTCCTTGAATGTCAAGTGCAGAAACCAAAAGTTCACTGGGCCCAAATTCGCATTCCTGTTTTTTTTTTTGGAGTCAGCATGAAATATTGGTCCCCTCTTAACAACCTTTGGGTCTTTGAAAGTTCTGCTAAAGACGGATCTAAAACTCTTTTCAGACTGTTAAATCTCTCACTAAACATAAGGCTGAACTTCGACCATTTAAGCTCACAGCCTCACACATTAGCAAGGACAAAACTGCTTATTGTGGAATAATCAGAGAAATCCAGACCTGCTACTTCTTCCCAAATGTCATCATGTTTAAAAGGTGTTCCAAAACACCCAGGACAAAATGTCTGTGTGGTTGCTGATACACCTGTCACAGATTTGATAGCGCAGAAGGCAATTTGCTGCTATCTGAGGGACAAAAAAGTACTTCATTTATGTTAGACGTCCAGGCTAAGACCAGCTGTAATCGGACTTCCTAAAAATAGCTGGCAATTCATTTGGCAGCAAAGCTGAATTAGTTTGTAAGAGAGAGATACAAATTATTGAAAAATAGTAATGCAAGCATTTTTCACATCACAATGATTTCAACAAAGACATTTATATTTTGAAAGTCAGCAAGTAAGGAATGCAATTTAAAATAGGCATATGAGTGATCAAGACAAACAAAAATAAAACACAAAATGGTTCCCTTTTCCCACTGGTTGCTCAACAGTGATCTGCTTAATGGATAAATTGTTCTTCCATGAATAACACAGGCATCTTTTAGTGAGGAGAGTTTCTACACCAATTATAAAAAGTTGTACGAACAACAAAACTGTGTTGAAAACTTAACAGTAAACTATCATTAACACAAAACAAGACAAAGGCATTAGCTAACACAATATTCAAAAGTAACCACATCTTCTTTAAATCACTGTAATATTGAGTTAATATAAAAACACAAACCAACACATTCTTACCTGTTAATTTTTTTAACAACCAGAGGCTGCGCAATGCTGTGGCATCTTGGAAACCGTTTTCTTATTACCGAAGTGGTGCAGGAAACAGCTTTTTGGACAAGAAAACATGTTGGGCAGGACTTGATTTTGTCCATTGGGAATTGATTGGATCATTGGATCATAGTCGTTTGCTATTGCTGTGACCTCATGTGATTGACAGGTTGTCCCACCCTCGCGCCAGTAAACACATCATCAGAGAAGAGAAGAGGGCTGCTTCTGAAAACTTTAGGCAGATGAATTGTTGCCTCACAAGTTGGAACACTATCAGGCAATGACTTTGCAGGCAGCGTTTGCGCACAAAGGTGCCTCGAGAAACTGATTTCAGACAGACTTCTGAGGCATAGTAACGGTTTAATGATCTACAGCAAAATAGAGAGCTTTGGTGAAAACTAAGCGAATATTTAATTAATACAATAGTAATTTCTCGCTAGAAATAACATTAAAAGTAAAAAAAAAAAAAAAAACGGTTAAAAACGCACATTTCCACACCAACTTTCACACCAACTTTTTTTTTGAAAGTCGCAACTTTCAGACTCTTTCAGAGCATTTTTTTTTTGCTTAACTGTCATGAAAAGAAGTTTGCGACTCTTATTGCAGGTATCATATGGCGAATATCTCAGCATCTGAGGTGTTGATGAGTTGTTTTCATGTGCAGGTGTCACTGTTTACTTGCTAAGGTGTGATGTAAGCTCCTCACAACAATACTCTGTTGGAGTGTTTCATAATAGCCTGGGCTCACACTACAACTGCCAGCCAACCCATCTGTGTGTCTAAACAGCAATTAGTGACCAACACCCCAAACATACACTCACCTAAAGGATTATTAGGAACATCATACCAATACTGTGTTTGACCCCCTTTCGCCTTCAGAACTGCCTTAATTCTATGTGGCATTGATTCAACAAGGTGCTGAAAGCATTCTTTAGAAATGTTGGCCCATATTGATAGGATAGCATTTTGCAGTTGATGGAGATTTGTGGGATGCACATCCAGGGCACGAAGCTCCCATTCCACCACATCCCAAAGATGCTCTATTGGGTTGAGATCTGGTGACTGTGGGGGCCATTTTAGTACAGGGAACTCATTGTCATGTTCAAGAAACCAATCTGAAATGATTCGGAGCTTTGTGACATGGTGCATTATCCTGCTGGAAGTAGCCATCAGAAGATGGGTACATGGTGGCCATAAAGGGATGGACATGGTCAGAAACAATGCTCAGGTTGGCCGTGGCATTTAAACGATGCCCAATTGGCACTAAGGGGCCTAAAGTGTGCCAAGAAAACATCCCCCACACCATTACACCACCACCACCAGCCTGCACAGTGGTAACAAGGCATGATGGATCCATGTTCTCATTCTGTTTACGCCAAATTCTGACTCTACCATCTGAATGTCTCAACAGAAATCGAGACTCATCAGACCAGGCAACATTTTTCCAGTCTTCAACTGTCCAATTTTGGTGAGCTCTTGCAAATTGTAGCCTCTTTTTCCTATTTGTAGTGGAGATGAGTGGTAACCGGTGAGGTCTTCTGCTGTTGTAGCCCATCCGCCTCAAGGTTGTGCGTGTTGTGGCTTCACAAATGCTTTGCTGCATACCTCGGTTGTAACGAGTGGTTATTTCAGTCAAAGTTGCTCTTCTATCAGCTTGAATCAGTCGGCCCATTCTCCTCTGACCTCTAGCATCAACAAGGCATTTTCGCCCACAGGACTGCCGCATACTGGATGTTTTTCCCTTTTCACACCATTCTTTGTAAACCCTAGAAATGATTGTGCGTGAAAATCCCAGTAACTGAGCAGATTGTGAAATACTCAGACCGGCCCGTCTGGCACCAACAACCATGCCACGCTCAAAATTGCTTAAATCACCTTTCTTTCCCATTCTGACATTCAGTTTGGAGTTCAGGAGATTGTCTTGACCAGGACCACACCCCTAAATGCATTGAAGTAACTGCCATGTGATTGGTTGATTAGATAATTGCATTAATGAGAAATTGAACAGGTGTTCCTAATAATCATTTAGGTGAGTGTATGTCACACTGTCCTGCTTCTCTTTCTCTAGAGGCACAGAGACATTGTGTAAGTAATTGCTTAAAAGTCACAATCAGGAGTCTGCTCATTGGTTCTGTGTTGTGAACCACTAATGTTGAGAGTTATAGGGACCTAGGAAACACCAGTTTTGTGATAACATATGGATTCATCATTAGCACCATGTAGTCTAATTTAAGCTTATTTCACTCACTCTGCCAGACTACCAGGGAAGTTATGTGTGTGGTGACGATGGTGAACTGTCTTTCTATCTGTCTGTGCCTGCCTACCTGCCAGCCAGGATGCCATTACAGAGGACCAGAGACCCAACCGTCATTTGTCTGGGCAGAGCCTCATAAATTAACATATGGAGAGCAATTAGC